ATGTATGAAGAGCAAAAAACTGGAACTGGAAATAAAAACGGATCTAAGGTGCTGGCAGGAAACGATAAGAAATCAACAATTATGACGGATCATTAACCCTTAGAAGAAACGGGATCATTTTTTCAAAGAAGTGTTATTTGTTGAATGATTGTGCGCATTGTTTCTCTTTTATTAAACTCTGGAAAATTGCCAGTGATAAAAGTGAGGTAATCTTTAAGCTTTTTAAGAAGTAGAAACCTATAGAAAGTATTGATAGTAGTATTGATAACTGAAAAAGAGCCTTTAGAAAGTCTGATCCATCAAGAAAAACATCTAGTAAAACGGTTGAAAGTGCATTAACAGATTATTGCACTGACCAAGTCACATGTTTTCTATTTAACAATAACACACTATAGCTTTAGGTTACAACACAACAAATATATTTTATAACGAGTAGTATGCACACATATTATGTGTATATATGTGCAAATATAAATTTGTCTGCATATACAGATATCTAGACATCAACAGATAGATACGCATGAACAGAAGGACACAATAGCCGATGCGAGCCTCACTTGGCTCACGCTATTGACTATATGTACAGTATAACTACAGTGATGTTGAGATTTTGCAAAACTCCGGACCGCAGGTGTCTGCGATGGGATCAAACACGCTATTACACTTTTCGGGGGCTAGTACGTTCGCCGCCACACCATGCGGGTCTGCGTTTTCGCTTTTCTTTCAGCCGTGTTTTATAGGTCCTATCAGCAATATCACCCGTCAATGGGATTGATCTGGGAAGCATAAGCCGGCATTGAATCTAGTTAACCTAAACCTAAAGCTGTAGTATAAGTCACAATGTAGTTACTTTTTCATTCACTGCCTATTCTTTTTCTTGGCAGGGTGTGCTGTGAAATATATCCACAATGATGTTGAAATATTTGCAAAACTGTGAACCGCAGATGCCTGCGGTGAGGATCGAAAGCGTTACCCTTTCAGTGAGCAGACGCATTTATTACCGATCAGATCAGCAGTTCTGTAAATATCAGAGTATTACTGTATTTAGTTATATTTCACTGAATACCCTGCCACGAAAAGAATAGGCAATAAATAAAAAAGTGACTGCATTATGTGCAATATTTTTGGTGTAACTTCGAAAATAGAAAGGATCTCATCAGAAGGCATTCACTACCAGTAGAATTGTTCGTTTAAACGCTGAGATTATGAAAGAATAAAGCTATCGGCGTTGATCAATCCAGAGTTATGCGCCATGGATTGGACTTCATCAAGCACCTTTAGAGATGGTCGAATGCATAATTGGCCTCTACAATGACTCACGGCGGCTACCGATGCATCGAACCAGCACTGCTATCCTCGCAGACAAACCTGGTACCAATTCGCTAACCTCGCAGAGATGAAGAGATGAAAGGCTTGGTGAGATTGAACCGACGGGATCTATCCATGTGTATTGTAGGGCGCCTCCGACCACTGCGCTACAAGCACCCCTCGCAAAGATACGTGCTCAGTTTTTTTGATGGTATGCTGATACGGTAAAAGATATGTATCTATGTGCAACATAGTTTCTTAATCCATTTCTTTTTTAAATATATTATAGTTTTCCTTCTTCAATTTTTCATTTCAGCACGAGAAAGCGGACAATCACGTCTGAACATATTAGAAATATCAGAAAACTTAACATATGTTCAAGTAACACATCCTACATTGTGTTTACCGAAGGGGATTTTCTCCACGTAAAATAAACGAAGACTGTTTGGCGCCCTTCGTATAAACAATTCCACTTACGACCAACCATCGAAAACACCACAATCGATATGGAATCAAAAAATTTCAGGCCTTTCTAAAATTAGCCACTTGAAAACCCTGGAGTCAAACGTGATCAATTGACTTGATAACGTACCTTACTCGATCGTTTTCTAGACGCACGCTGTTGCGAAAAACATTCGCAACAACGTGCATTGACTTCGATGCGCAAAAACTGTACTAATTGTGCTTTTTGACTTCTCGAAAATAATTTCTTTATCTGCATATCTTCTGAAATTAGAAAAACTGGTGATAATGGCATTTTATCGGCAAATTCTAACACTAAACGCGAAGCTGAAAAACTAAGGATCTGGATGCATGTGGGTTTCAAACATTTCAATTTACGTTGAACAAATTTTTCACCTGAATTGAAGGGTTTCGTCCGAATATGATTTCCTATTTTACAAACTTGTATTCCTTAGTGAAGCCACTAGTATGAAAGGAAGACGAAAGAAGTAAACGCCACGCAAGGAGCTAATAAAGTAGAAAAGATGACGTATGCTTTAATTTAATTTCTTCGTTGTGAAGCTGTCTTTTTGCTTAGGTGAATCAATCCCTGGAACTTAAAACACTTCTGCTGTTCTTCGACGTGTCATAATAGCATAATTATTTTCTTCGGTTTTTTACCGTTAAAAGCATATTGCTACTCAAATGTGCACGAAATGCAATGCTTAGAAATACCTCATAAAGAACAAGGTAGTTCCTTCTCGTTCAAGGGCAAAGCCAACCATCTTTGGCAAATTCGAACTGGACTTATATATGAGAAATCACCGAACTATTTGTAACAGTAAGCCTTTATAAGTTATAATATAGGCCAAATATGCATTCAATTAAATCTGTGATGCTCAGCGAAACGATTAGCACATTCCTAATGGGCTAATGAACGTCGAATGAGTTGCCCTTTATCCCTTTTAATGCCATCAACAGATCACCTTCTTTTCAGAGTCGAGTCTCTTCGAGTCGATTTACTAGGATGACATGAAATGGCGCCTTTCCAGATACCCAAAGAAAGTGAGGGGTTGTGCATGCACAAAAATCCAGCGCATTTTTGCGCGAAAAGGCTTAAGGGCTCAAGACAAGATGTCGTTCTTGTTCCTGTTGCGAAAGATTGACTTCTGACTTACACCCTCTTTCTTACGTGTTACGCAGACATATTTGCGTGGAAACAGGCTTTGGTGCACGCAGTTCTCGTCGGCGTTGCGTACGAATTCGATTTAATGCACATAATCGCGAAGCGACAATGATGAACTATGGAGGTATGCGTTTTTTGAATAAGGAACCCGTCGTTGGGCTGGTAATCTATGTGTTTACGATACCGTCCTCTCTGAGCTCAATATTAAAACCAGATTCTGCAGAAATATCGAGCCGCATTCAAGCAAAATACGATTTATGTCTTGTTAATGAGCAGCTACTTTAAATGAATGCGAACTTTATCAACATCTCATTCGAGAATAATAAAGTTGATTAGCGGCACTACGGCTGTAGAAGCAGGTGGAATTGAAAACATGACGCTAGCAAATCGTATAGAATTAATGGTAACCACTCATTTTTGCCACTACTTTAATTCCTTGCCAGTTTTTTAAAGTCCGAAAAGGCAAAAACTAGCGACTGAGAAGAACGAAAGGAGAAGCAAAAAGTAAAGTAACATGGCATTAATGGAGATAAGAAGACTGATCTGTTAACAAAACATAAATCCGAGCAAATGCTATCTTTTTACCAATTTCTCCATAAATGGAATATTTCAGCCGTATTTTCATTATTTACATGTATATCAGTGCTATATCTATATCTATATCTATATCTATATCTATATATATATATATTATATATATATATATATATATATATAAGGGCGCGTGTAGCGGTAGTCGGAGGAGCCCTGCAATACACACGTGGAATCGATCCCCGCACCCATGGTCCACCAAGCCTTCCGTCATTCCAGGGTCGGCAAATTCGTACCAGACTTGTCCGGGAAGAAAGCAACACTGCTCCGATACATCGGTAGGCCACCGTGATTTTATAAAGGCCAGATATACATGCAGTGGCTTCCAACGATGCTTAACGAAATCCAATGTATGGCGCATCCCTTGGAGATTGATCAACGCCGAAAGCTTTTTTACATGTATGTCTGACTGTAAACTCTGTTCAATTGAAGAACACAAAAGTAATGAAGGAACGTTGTCTTTAGACGATCATTCGATTGATAAACATGAGCCCATAGAGCTGAACTGGTATACAGACAGCAAAAACGACAATGACAACAACGGCATTAACAAGAATGCCAACAACAACAACAATAATTGCTAAAACAATAACGGCAATGATGTATACAACAACAAGAGTAACAACAGCAGCAGGAACAAGAAAGCAAAAACAAGAACCACGACAACAGCAACAACGATGACTGAGAATCCCATTAAACTAATTTCTAGTTTCTAACATTCATATAGAACATTATCTAAGCAAATGAAGACATGACTTATGGGACAGCATCCTTACTAACTACTACTCACATCAAAAGTTGTATGCACCTATTACAATGACCTAAGAGGAAAAAAGGTCAAGATCTCGGCGAATTTAGCCTTCGATATTTTGCCTATTACTAATCAAGCAAAACAAAGAAACTCCAATAAGATGTAAATGGTTTGACTGAAAGCAAAAAAATCAAATTATCGGTTACTTTAGGGAGAACCCCAGAATGAACACCAGGGAGGCATGCTCTGGGATCAAACGTGATCTAGACCCGTACCATGGCATCGACCCTTGATGTGGAGCGGTGCACTCATCGACCATGTGTAACTCTAATCAGCTGTTCTTCCTCAGTGGAAGACACTTAAAAAACGGTAGTTTTTCGAGAAGCTGCTGATCATGCGATTACCATAGAGATTTTCGTCTTTTTATATGTTACTGAAGCGTTTTACCAAGTAAATTACATATCAGTGTACCCTCCCATGCTCTGAAGAAGGCGACACTGCAGAAACGTCAGCTGCCGTTGTGTTGTATGTGTTCTCCTTGTAAGGAAGTAAACGTATGCTGAATAACAGCCTCGCAATTGCTGAGAAAGAAAACGAGGTAATTATAATCCAATGCCGAGGTTAATAGAAAGTCGGTCCTGGGAACTTTACGGCGGTATATCTCCTAAGTTGTCCATTCCTCCCAAAGGTTTAGCGCCTCATCGTAGCTGGGAGGTATTCCTGGGTCTCGGACTATCGGACTAAGATGTAAAGCGGAGGATTCATCCCCTCGCAGAGTTCCCCAATCTGAGAAGGAGTCCGAAGTCTTCATCAGGAAGCTTAGCTAAAAATAAACCAATACCAGGATCCACCACCGTCCTAGTATCAAAGTCGCATGGTGGTAAAGCTCCTTCTGATCCACAAGGGCGGCGACTACCTGTGGTGGTGAACCTGGGGCAGACTTTGGCCAGGTTGACCTCGGGATTGCAGGAAACTACAATGGCTTAACCAGCAAATCCCCGAAAAATAGAGATTATGCTGGAGCCCACACAGCCAGTGAGGACGGGCCATTCGAGTTTCAGGTGTGTGTCAAGTTGCTCATTAACCATTAACTATTCTGATTTTTCAGAGCGTTTCACTTTTTTCAACACTACTTTCTGACGTGCTGAAAACACCGCCTAATTATAAACATTTATGAGTATTTTTCCGCATAACAAATTTAAAAATAGCCATGGTAGTCGATAATAATAAAATTAAGAAAAAGCTAGGCTCGTTCGCACGTTGATGGCTTAAACGCCCCTGACATTCTGATGGACAGTTGAAATCGCCGAAAACGATCGACATAGTTGCTATAGCGAAAGCGATTCATTTTCCAACAAAAAGAAACAAAAAACTCTCTAAATGCAGACGACATTTTTCTCGCTACGCTTGGATGAATTTCTTGGAAAAGGGATTTCTTCAGTTTGTTACTATCGGAGCAGTTTTGACTTTTCGAAAACTGAGAAATTCTTTTCTGGTTTGCCTGATCAAATCTGGATTGTTGGATCGCGTTCCAGCCGTCGGTCAACAAATCGCTGGGTTGGCTGCCCTCGGATCGCTCATGGTGGTGCTGCTGCCCAACCGTAGCAAAGAAGACTCTATTTGATCCAGAAGGGCTGCCCACGACAGAGATGTGGGTAGGCGGTACGCCCTAAAACAGATATCTAATATCCAAGTATCTCGAGATTCCAGGTGCCATCACAGATGTTGCAACACCGCTTAGAACAAAAGACAATGGTGGATCTGAGAAGTAGTGATACATACGGATCAGCCATAGAGAATTCTGATATTGTATACAAAAAGTTAATTTAGTCTGTTAAAACCGTGAGATTTACGTTCTTCCGAAGATCATATAAAATAAAGTAGGGAGTGTGTCTAACGCAGTGATCAGAGGTGCTCTGCGGTTCACACATGGTCGTTGGTTCGATTCCACCGCTGGATTCATTAAGCCTTACATCCTTCTGAAATCAGCGAATTGGTTCCATACTCTCTTTGAAGGATAGTAGCACTGATTTGATAAATCGGGAGACCACCGAAATCTATTATATAGTTCAGATATGGGTTCGATAAATTCTGACATGGTTACTGAAGTCGAATACACAGCAGCGCATCCCTCGAGGAAAGAAAGATCAACGCTGAGAGTTTTGTCGTTTATCCACGTCAAATAAAATGTTGTGGTTCTCGTGTAAACAGAACAGTCTAAAGAAATAAAGATAATCCTATTTTTTATGTAAACAAAGTTGACCGATACCCATATAGATGAGGAAACCACATTTCGGGAGTAAGGATCGTATCCAAATCGAATCTAAGTTGAGATATCGTCAAAACTCGGAACATCGGTTGCGCTTCGAACCCGCGATTAACCTTTCCCAGGCACATGTGCTATCTATTTAGCCAACCGATTCCCTTACTTTCACATTCTCGCACTTTAAATTTTGTATTTTGTACAATTCTTTCCCCTTCTGTTCAGCAAACACGAGGTGCTATTCCACTTCACCACTCACGTAAAGGCTGACGTTTCAGTGGATTTTGCCTTTCTCAGAGCCTGGAAAGATCAAGTTGACAGCAACCTTTTCGGCCAAACACCTTCATAACCAAACAGAGACAACGTTATACCAAGATTTCAATCACATTGAACACAGCTCAGCACACTCTCCGCTTTCTATGAGTCTTCCCTAAGTATGTCGTGTGAAGACCGACCGCACAGAAACCACATGGAAGTATAATGTGCCCCTCCCATCAAAATAACAGTCTTGACTCATATATCATGTGTGATAATGAGACATTCTTCCCTGCGGTTCATTTTCGGATTTCTGGAATTAACCCAGAACGCCTCGAGAGTTTTGCGCGCTTGTGTTCTTGATTACTGCTCGAGGATCGTGACGCGTACTTCAAAGTCCTCCCCGTTATGTCTCTGGGTCCTATGCGTGTCTAGCAAAGTATTTGGTTCATGTTTTCCGGCTAGCTGTTCTTTAATGCGGACACAGAGGAGTCTGCCTGTTTCGCCAATGTATTCGCCTCCACACGCCTTAAAGGAGATTAGATAAACTATACCCGAGCTCATGCAATCACCGTCTTTACCATTGGGGCAAATTATGCAATTTTGGGTTGCACACAGACGGTCATATAGTCGGTTACGAACTATCTGGTGCCTACTCGGTGGCATTTCAACTACGTTTACCGAATTCCCTAGACCAGCCCTTTTTGAGCAGCGTTTTATAGCTGCACTTACATCATTTGAGATGAAGAGTAGGATAAACGGGACCCTTCTATCGCTAGAGTTGTCGTTTGGAGGCCTACGATTTCCTCTACACCTATTCTAAGCTACAGTTTCGTAGCCATTAGAAACGGCTATTTGCCGTGCCAAGTTCCGGGACTCCTCTCTCTGCTCTCTTCCCGTGCACACGTTGGTTGCTGTTCGAAACATGTTTCTTATAAGCGCCCTTTTCGTGTGAGAGGGGTGAGAGGAGAGGTAATGAACCAAGATATTTTTACTACTTGGCTTTCGGTACCACTTTGTAATGTAGCCATTTTCTGATAGGTGAATTTGTACGTTCAAAAATGGAAGCCATTTTTCTTTCGGCTTTTCTCGGGTGAACTTGATATACTCTGACTGTGCGTTTAACAATTCGAAGCATTTGTCCATTTCCTCTTGTGTTGAGCAAAGGACAAAGCAGTCGTCTACATATCTACAGTAGAGTAGCGGCCGGAGATCAGTTACCGGTGCATCCACCTTAGACATAAATGCAATGCAAGGCTTGGAGCCAGTCGTTGTCCCATTACCAACCCTCTTATTTGAGCGTAATACTTTCCGGACCAACTGAAGATTGAGCAGCTCAAGCATTCTTTTAAGAGTGCCATCAGGTGCTCTATCTTGAAGCCATACATGTTTATTTTTCTTTCGTGTTGTGTAAGGAGTTCGAATATGGCTTGCATTGCGGAGTCATTCGACACGTTTGTATAAAGGGCGGTAACGTCGAAGGTCTCCATCACGCACGCGCTGTTGGGCTGCGCAGTACGTAGACGATCCAGAAACATCTGGGTATTCCTAAGATGGGCTGGAATGTATTTCAACAGCTGGTTTAATATTAGGGTTAAAAACCATGTTATCCTGTCCGTTGGCCTGTCTACACAGCTAATGATAGGTCTAACCTTAAATAGTGATGGATCGGTAGACGCAAGATCATCGCTGGTTACTAACTCATGAGTTTTTACAAGCAAGTACAAGACGGGCATGTTGGTAAGTCAACTTTTAGTTGAGAGATAACTGATGGTTTCAAACCAGCAGCTCTTGCCATTTTGGACCATTCGTGGTTCAATTTTCGGTTTTTTTAAATTCCTACTCAGATGATGGGTGATAAAGTGAAGCATCTTCAAGATGCTTTTTCTTTATATTATATTACATTTTGTATTTTGTATATTTTGTATTTTGTGTCTCATGTTTTAACCCTATAGAGGGTGGCAACGATCATCAGTAAGTAGGGCTGATCTCGGTGGCACAAATCGGTACTGAACCCCGCTAAGCTGAAGCTGCAGTTAAGTTAGGCTTCTACATCGTCATTAAGCGATCGGTCATTTTTACGTTCCTGCTTTCATTTTTGATTTTGGTTCTAATACCATGTCCGAATCAACTAATAGGAAACCGAACAAAGAAGAGAACTGCTTGCATGGTCAAGTCAGGACTCCAGGCAAGACCAAATTGCCTAGCCACCAATTGGCCAGTTTCGGCACCCTAGACACTGGGTGCTCCGGCCTACGACATCATACTTCGCGACGACCTGTGAGAGGACACGAAATCTGGGAATACGGAGTGCATCACTGGCGCCGAATCTGCCGAACACACAAAACACACGACACGCCAAAGAGATTGCTTCGTTCTTTGAACGTGTAATACAAGAACGCTTTCCTTAGACACCGATCTTCACGCCCTTTTTGAAACCGCGGATCACACCAAATTCCACGTGATGGTCCTATAAGAAACAAAAAGCAAGGAAACACACATACGCCAATTAAACAACGGGAGCGTTGTCCTCTACGTTGAAGAGGTCCAGTTACGAAATTCCAGTGGCATGAGATTTGTCATCCACGCATCCGTTGTTGATCTCGTCGACTCATGAGTGATTTTTTCCACTCCAATGGCCGCCTTCCGCCTTCAACAGCGCGTCATAGGAAAAATTATTACTCAACGATCGTTGCAACCGAGAAGTACAGACTAGATGGCTGCTACTATCAGATGGAGAAACTAGTCTGCAATGATAAAGCGTGTCATAAATTTGTTAACGGAGACTTCAAGACCAGAATAGGAACGGTCAACAACAGTGAATATATGATGAAAAAATTTGGATTAGGAAAAAGAAAAACCCACTTCGAGGATCGTCGTCTGCTCACGCCTCTTCCATAGAAACTCGTTTTCCAGAAGAAAGCAAGTCGCCGCATGACATGAGTGTCCACTAACGGCATGAGCTATGCGGGGATCGACCATATTCTAAAAAAGAGAAGATGGTGTCTATTTAACACTCAGGTAGTCCCATCATTTTCTTTTGGGTCCGATTATCATCTAATTTGTGCGAAGATTCGATTCAGCTAAAAGCAGGAAAAGGAATTCGGGTCACCAACCACTATGGAAAAGCTCAGCTGTAAATGACGAGAAGATTCGGAACAAAATTTCATCCAAACCTGACTGTCAGATTAAGCAAAAAAGAAGACCCGATCAATGACTACGACATGGTTGTCGAAAGTCTTAAAAGTTGTTGCGAATTCTTCTCAGTTCCTTAAGCGAGAAGATCATATTGCATTTCCATTAGCCCTAAGGATTCGTCCAAGAGGGGAAAGCACCACGCCTAGTATAGCTGATAATAAATGACAGTTTCAGTAGAGTTTTGCAGAAAGATCTTCATCTACGCATGGAGAAAAAACTTTTAGGACAAACAAATACAAACAAAAACTATTCTGAAGAAATGTAATCGGGACTTGTGCGTGCATGACGTTCCGCTCTCAGCATCAGCGAACAATTATAAAATCACTAAGCCTTCCGTTGTGATACGAAATTCTCTTTCCGTTGAGCACAGAGAGATTAGCTTCAGCTCTTCGATCAGCTAATATCACCATCGATTACCTTAGAGCTATAGGTCCTACGTCTTTGGTACCCCCTCTCGGTGCTATACTATACGCTAAAGATTGCAAATGGGATTTTGGTTAACTATTTTCCGATACCACGGATCTCCTTCTCATGAGCGATCTCGAGCCGGTTAGTCGTGAGGATACCCCGCGCGTCTCCAAGTGGCGGATAGGGGATTAATCGCGGACCGAAAGCGACCTTCGCTTCCCAGAGGCGCAGGTGCATCCAGGGGATGAACTCCCTGTTTCCGCTGCGCCGATTCGGCACATAATTTTTGTATTTGAGAGGCGTATTCATGCATGCGTGTGTGGTTGCGTTTCCGCGGATTGTATTCTACGAGTCACTTCGGCCAAAAGCCTGCAATCATGTGATAGGGAAGTATGTGAGATGCGGTTAGGAGTTGCCCCCAACAGATAAGCTCCATGTCCACTCTGGGAAAGACTACCGAGCTAAGCGTGAGTTTGGCCGGTCACCAGGTTCCGATCCCAGCAAACTATACGTGGGTATCAAAAAGTTAAACACAGTAGAAGAAACGAGCCTCATTCCCCAAACCCCGAAAGAGCCCCTAAATCGGCAGCGTTGGGAAAGACGAGCACAGAGAGGCTGCTAAAATCTCATGGCCTATGGAAGCTGCCAAGATCACAAAGAACTAAGGTGACAATCTGTACCTACCATGCATGTACACATGCATCCGAATCCTCGATAGAACAGTTGGTTATTCAAGCAAGAAGGATAAGGTACGACGTCATCGGCCTGGCCGAGACAAGGCGACGTCACCCATTCACCGTCCTTGACACCGTAGAAAAACTGTTCTTCGGAACATGTGACAGTCGGCGGCGTAGGCGTTCCCGTCAACACGAGTTTGTCCATGATCACCAATTCATTCCAGCAACTGACAACCCGAATCGGACGGACGCATGCGATTAAAAGGATATGGATCACCACTGGCTTTGGCAATCATCGTCGTTTACGCGCCGACGTCAGACTGTGACGAAGAAGGAGTCGAAGCGCCCTATATGGACTTCGGAAAGTTCTACAGAGAAGATCATACATTCTACAAGGTCATCATTCGAGATTTCAACGCCAGGATTGAACCAAAAAGAACGTCTGAAGAACGTTACATTGGGACCCACGGATTAGAATGGAACGAACAGGGTGAACGGCTATCTGAGTTTATCATGGCGACTAAGATATTGCATAGTAACTCCCAATTCCAAAAGCCCCACTCTCAACGCTGGACGTGAGAGTCTCTCAATGGAGCGTATCATAACGAAATAGACCACATCATAGTAAACAAAACGTTTTGCCTAAACGATGTCGTGGTTCGCCGAAATTTCTGCGGGGAATCGTACCATCAACTCCTTCGGGCAAAATTTCATTTCCCACAAAAAGAGAAGAAGCAGCGAAATTCAGAAAAGCCATGCCCGAAAACAATCATAAACCGGGATTTATTCAGTTCATTAGTCCACTGTTGGAAAGGTCCAGCTGTCGATAACATCGACGGAGAATCATCGAGAATCGAACAGCGCAAGGCTCGGACAGGATAAGACCAGAACACCTAAGCAATCTTCCGGCACTCCTCGCAAACGCACTGGCTCGGCTCTTCACACGTTACCTGTCTGAATACAAGGTCCCTACTCAGTGGAAGACCAGCAAGACCGTGTTGTTGTTCAAGAAAGGTGAGCTGCACGATATCGGCAACTGTCGCCCAATCTGCTTACTGTCTGTCTTCTACAAACTTTTCACCTGAGTCATTCTAAACAGGATTGACAGTACACTAGACGAAGGACAGCCATGTGAGCAAGCAGGGTATCGAAGAGGATTTAGTACGATGGACCACACCCACACGATAACAAGGCTCATTGAAGTATCGCGAGACTACAAAGACCGCTCTGCTTCACTTGCATCTATTTACAGAAGGCCTTTGATTCAATTGAGATAGAAGCAGTAATGGAAGCCCTTGATATTCAAGGAGTCCCCACTCAATACATAAGCATTCTTCGTGAGCTGCACAAAAAATTTCACAACCAGGATATCACCATTCTGCAACGATATTAACATTGACGCCAAAAGAGAAGTTAGGCAAGGTGATACGACCTCGCCCAAATTATTTACCGCCACTCTCTAGAACGTTATTCGAATGTTGGAATGGGATAATATGGGAGTGAAAATCGATGGTCGGCGGTTACATCATTTTGGCTTTGCTGACGACATCGTCCTTATAACACCAAACATTAGCCAAGCGAAACAAATGCTCGCCGACTTTGATACGGCCTGTGAAAGGATTGGCTTCGATTAAATCTCACAAAAGAGATGTTCATGAGAAACGGATTGGTTTCGCATGCCCCATTCACGCTCAATGGAACGAATATCTCTGAATGACCCAGTTAATATCTTATCTAGGTCGGGAAATCAATATGATGAACGACCTAGCTCCAGAGCTGAGCAGAAGGAAGCGGGCGGCTAGGGGAGCTTTCAAGAGCATCGGGGATGTAGCGAAGAGAACAAAGAACACGCGACTCCGTGCCAACCTTTTGAACTCAACGGTACTTCCTGCCCTAACGTATGCGTCAAAAACCTGGTCGCTGCGTAAGCAGGATGAGAGGCAACTCTCATATCGAACGCGTAGTCGAATGAACGATTGCTAGGAGTATTCCGCTCCACTCAAGTAAGGGATGGGATCCGAAGCTCCGATCTGCGTCAACGATCAAAAATCAAAGATGCCGTTCTGTACGCCAAACAGTCGAGGATAAGGTGGGCCGGAAACATAATGCGTATGAATGACAACCGATGGACAAGAGCCGTTAGTGACTGGATTCCTCGGGATGTCAAAAGTACTGCAGGAAGACCACAGACGCGATGCTTAGAGTTTTTCACAAAGAGCCTTGAAGAAAGATATGATGCTCGACGATTCCCTAGAGGGAGCAGAACCCACTGGGCGACTCTTGCACGCGACAGGGAAAAATGGAAGATTTACTGGCGCCCGCTCGAGTCACTCGGCGATCAACGGGACTACAGGTGATACAGGTGATTACATGTCTTTGTTGCCTTCGTATCGAGCCGAATCAACTGCTGAGTTCCCCAATTGGTGTTTCAGCTAATTTCTTCCAATGGAGATGTGTGATTTAGTTCTTGCGCCAATGAGCAATCCTGTGTTGGCAAACTGCTCAGGTATAAAATGTAGAGGAGTGGGTGAAAGACGGGCTTCCAACACAAAGGTATTGGTGTTTATGCAGCATTTCAAATCTGAAGTGCTGTGTTCAAAAATAGCAAAACTAATATAATATGTCGAGAAGGGATACAATACATATAAAGGCACATACTGTTATTAGATCTTTCTGACAGAGGCAAACAGCTTGTGGTATGCGTACTGCAGTTGTATTATACACAACAAGCGATATTATTATAGACTTGCTCACAATTCCTGCAACGAAAGTGCTATTATACTACTTCATAGAGAAACATGTTTACAATTAGTCTGTGGTGAAGGAATAACATCCACAACACGCCTTTACTGGAAATAAAGAATCAATAAGTACCTTCTGACACTGTAATAGAGGGAGTGCTAACATTAACAAAGAATAAACGAGAACGCACTTAGGTTGCCCAATACAAATATCGTAGAGGCGATTAAATGTTTCTTGTTCTTAGGAAAATTTTCGAAGGTCTACCGATGCGTTAAATATGTTTTTCTCCCTCCAGACAAGTTTCTTATTGAGGCGCTGATTCTGGTGGAATGGAGAGCTTTGTGAGATTGGAGCGAAGAATCGGACCAACAACCCATGTGTGCACCGCAAAGCACTCTTAACTAATTTGTCATGTCCATGCTTCGGCTCTAGAGTCAACGAATCCAATAAAAATAATGCTCAACTAACTTGGATAACCATTTTCGCAAGCATTTCCAACGGAGCCGTGTTTATGATATGCCGTGTCACCACACAAAAACAATGTTCAGCAGCGCTAACATCCACAACGACACCGAAAATGTCCAGCCGTTGGAAACCCTACAAACACAATTCTTATGTAAATTACGTGAAAACCGTCAAATAACAGTGTGAAATGTTCATAGTAAAATAAGCAACAACACTTCTGATTAAAAAGCGATAATATAAAAGTGGGCGATACTTCGTTTGTCACACATTGTAACCAGCCCCTACTCACCTACTCACCGTGCTCTTCTCCACTGCACTCCCATCTCCTCTCTCTCTCTCTCTCTCTTCGTTCTCTTTCGGACCCAGCAGCCCCATCAGTACACGTCTGCCCAGTTACCACCAAATTGATATTTTCATGGTTAAGCAAGTTTTCTTCCACCAAAACTTTCACAAGTCTTCACAGTAAGTAATCACCGACTCCAACCTTGGAGGCGATCTACATCATTTCGACAAGGCCTCCACTATACGCTGAAAGAGCCATTCGAAGGCTTAATTTTAGTTAATTACCAAGTTGGAGATAGTGAACTCCGCGACTTTTAAGACTACCGTCGTGTCCGAAAACATTTTTTGCCGTCAAGAGGAGGCAAAACCTTGAGAGGACGTGCATTAATATACATTTATATTTATTCTAGAAAGCCAAGTGTGTAATGGTAGTGATGCCATAAATTATAACCAACGCTTTGGTTCAATTCTGCCAACGATTACCAAGCTTTCATTCCTTAAGCGCTCGAGAAAGCGATACCAAACTTGTCTATGCTCTACTCACTCGTCCGAAACCGTTTGGTACGCCTCACCACCATGCTCCTTGAAATGCACGAAGCGTTGTCTTAACTAGGTTTCAGCGGCGTTCGTGAAAAAGACAAAAATTCACTGGCAGTAGGGAAAACAATACGCAGAGTCGAATGTTTGCGAGGAATACACGAGGAAACGAATCGAGTCCAAGTTCTGCTTTTATCCGCGTGAAATTATGAAGATGGAGTCGAGTCAACATGTTCCACCATCGAGTGCGAAAATCTTCACATCCTTCTCCACCTATTTCCTATGGCCCATATATTACGTACCGTTTCGTAATTCAGCCAATGTTCAAATTTCGACAAGAGTTTGATGAGGGGAATCTGTGAAAGACATTCGATAATGTTACGTTGAGATTCACGTGTAGTTCATCTTCTGCCGACAGTTCACAATGAGTTTATTAGACCTCAAATTTTTAAAAGTTATTATGATTCCAGAACATGATGATCTTCATGGTTTTGCTACAACTTATAGCCATCGCCTTGGCTCAAACAGGTTTCTTTAAAGTTTTCTTCACGATGAATATCGGTAACCCCTATAATTCTCTAACCACCGAGTGGTGTATGTCACCAATAGAGCTCGTCCCTATCGCGCACAAGAAGTATTTAGTGCGCTCAACAGAGCATGCAAAAATCTCTTGAAAACATTTTTAACGATAAAATGCATTTAATGCATTGTGAACAATCCTATTGTTGTTGTGTAACTTGCTGAGTTACCACAGAGTAGACCTGGAACATGCTTGCAACGATGCCTGAACTCTTGCCTCGTGCTTCCCTAACCACTAAACTGAGGCAAACTTTACAAATAGATATATATGACACTAACGACATAAAGAAAATCACATTCGAAGACGTGTGGGTTAATATGACTCTCTGTGTGCGGGTAGTAGACACAGAGGGTATTGGGGAAGAAGTAAGGCACTCGTCCTATGAAGCCGCTCACTTTTAAAGGACAGCTCATTTTCGTTCTAATTCGCATTCATCCATCGCCAGTAAGGAACAGTGAGGCAACTGGCGTCGTTACTTACCAGAAAATGGTCTCCAAAGGGTACAGATCCACATTTCTGCATACATGCTACGCTTTCCCAACTAACTAATAAGCAATATGGAACGCACCTCAATTTCTACCTCTGTAACACGAACCAGAGTTCTTTGGAACGAAAATATCCGGCTAGCATCACACATTTCATTCATATGAAGAGTACTGAAAATTTCAGGCTCGTATGACTGGTACCGTACACAGTCATACGACACCAATAATTTCTACACCAGACCTCCTTATGCGTGGTGGAAAACGGATTCCCCTTGGAACGGTCAGGAATTTTCTTTGATGTAAAGGAAATGATGACCAAATGGATCGATGCCTCTGCAAATTTCAGGATTTCAAACACGATCACGTCTTCCCAATGATTATTACACAAGACCTCCTTATTGGTGGGGAACACAGACTCCTCAATAAATGGCTAGTCTTTTCTCATCTTTTATTTGAATGTGAGTAAACGAAGTTGAATATTTTTGCTTGTTGCAGTGTATACAACATGGCCATACAATTTCTTCAATGACACACCGTGAACGGTCAGCAATTTTTTTCGTCAATTGAGAAAGAATATGACCGAGTGACAGTATTTCTTTTCATGTGTACAAATGTAGGAGCTGCCAATCCTTCCTAACTGTGATGGAACGAAGAAGTCAAGGAATTAGTTATTTCCAACTCGTCAAGTGCGCCTAGGTTTCAATGCAAGACCGTGTTTTACCACTAGTGCAGAGTGTTAGACTCTGCTCTCTACAAATGAAATGTACTACATTGATTTCTGATAAAGAGTTATTCGTCAATAATTATCACCAGCAGAGCAACATAACATCGTCGTTATTGTGGGATGGAAATTTTCCAGACCATTAAACCGATTTATAAATATGCTTTCCTTCGCTGTAAAATACGCAGAAAAAATACTTTGGGAAATACCAATACGGTGAGATCTAAACGCAATGATAACGTCTTTGCAAAACGGTGAACTTCTGTTTGTGATGCTGCTATGAGACCTCAGAAGGCTTTAGTGCGCAGACAATGACGCCTTTCTTGGACCGTCTCGATATGGAACCACCAGCATTTTTAAACCCATAAGAGAAATCTTTGTCACACCTTGTTATCTCGTATCGTTACAAAACATTATTTTTCGTGTAAGCATGAAACAATGGGTCATACAATTTTACAAAGACTGCCTTTCCTTGTGACTCTTCTCCGGCCAACAGTTCATTAAATCTGTTGAGGAAGAACCGAACCGACAACCGTCGTGCATGCCCTCTTTTCTCATCTTTTTCATGTTCCTCGCTAGATAAAAACGTTTAGTTTCAACAGATAACAAATAAGGAATACAGCATGAGTGTGGATGAGCAGATAGTCACGTGTTTTTCAAATGCTCATTAGCTTGTTTCGTTAGGTATTGCGAACCTCATTATACCGTTACAACATTAACAATCACCAATTCTTTCTTCTAGCCAAAGCCGTTTTGCTGCTTCGCTTTTTTTCTTCCAGCACAATAAAACTGGTCAATTTGTGATGGTAGACCGAAACGAAATGAGGGTACTAAAATATCTCGAAGAATATTTACTATTCCGTGACTCCTCTCTTGCACCTGGGCCTTCGTGCAGATAAGTTCTAGATGAACGAATAAATTAACCACTCTTCTTCTGATGATTCATTGAGGTAGTTACGAGTGTTCCTACCCTGGCTCCAAATTGTTAGAGTTCGGCTGCGCGACTCATTCTCTAGGCGCTTCGGAATAGAGCTGGATCGTGCTTTAACACTATTGCGCCAACCAATGAAGGAACTGCTGCACTTCAATTTTTGCCAAAGCTATGCTCATGTGTCGCTTGAAGGCTCTCAAAATACTTTTGCACCCAGTTTGCCCAATTTTGGTGATCGTGTCTCAAGCTCGGAGCCATTTCGGAATCAGACCGAATTAATAGTTCCACTATTCCTTCCTGTATTGTTAAGCTAATATGAGGTTGATAAAGATGTTTATTCGGCTAACGATTCGATGTATTCGTCTTCATCAAAGCCAATGAGCCGAGTCGATGGTACACAGCCGTTCATCTTCTCCAAGTGGTGTCTTTGTTATCGTATAAAGTCGGATCTTCTTCAGTGGGAACACCGTTCGAACGAGGCAACCTCGTCCGCCAGCACTGTTTTGCACAGGACGGTTGTTGCTGATAACGGAAATCCGTTAATAGTAATTTGTTTTCCGATGGATAATCTATTCTTTCTCAGTCGATATTATGTTAAGTAGCATATGGCGAAAAGCAAAACAATATTTTTCAAACTAACCGCTATTAAACCTGAGTAGCATTAACCAAAACCTTCTTGGATTGTTTAGCTAGCGTGAGGTTGGAGATGGTTATTTTGCCGACTTCGACGGTAGACGTGTCGTTTCTAGCGTTGCGTATATTAACTGAGCAAAACACACTGGCATTGTCAGAGTATTTAACTCGAGTTTTGGAACAATAGTAACATAATCTTAACCCTTTATTTACTAGCTAGTACAGTTTTTACGCCAGGTATTTCCTATTTGTGGCAATTTGCTCATCGCACGAATACATAGAAAACTAGCTGAGAGAAAGGTAAAACGAAGCACCCGCATGGTGCGGCGGTTAGTGCGCTAACCCCTGAACAGAGTTATAGCTCGTTCGTTCTCCACCGCAGACACCTGCGGTCCCGCGTTTTGCAATTATCTCAACACCACAACGTTGCTGAGATATTTGCAAAACTCTGGACAGCAGGTGTCTATGGTGGGGAACAAACGCGCTATTATCCTTTCCGGGGAGTAACGCGCTCACCACCACACCATGCGGGTCCTTCGTTTCGCCTGTCTCTCAGCTATTTCTATCGATCTTTTTTTATAAAAGGCAGAAAACAAAACGTTAAACATTGTGATTTCAACTACAGCCATAGCTTAACTGGGTTCTATGCCGATTTGCGCTCCCCAGATCAGCCCCGCTGACGGGTGATTGCTGTGGCAAAAAGATCGATAGAAATAGCTGAGAGACAGGCGAAACGAAGGACCCGCATAGTGTGGTGGTGAACGCGTTACTTCCTGGAAAGGATAATAGCGCGTTCGTTTCCCACCATAAACACCTACGGGTCAGAGTTTTGCAAATATCTCAGCAACGTTGTGGTTGTATTTCGCTTAGTAACCTGCCATGAAAATTGTAGAAGGCAGAAAACAAAACGTTATCTCAGCACCGTTGTGGTTCTATCACACATAGTAGAAGCATAATTACACGACTCCAGCTTAGATTTTCTAATGAGGAGTGTGTGAATCACTCATTATTAGACAACAGCTGTGAGCAAGTGGCCATCCATTCTATGCTGGCATCTGCATAGAGTACTGGTTTGGTTCATAATGTAGTCACTTTTTCACTTGCTGCTAATTCTTTTTTCATTGCAAGGTATAATGTAAAATACAACTGCAGTAGCGCTGAGATAATTGCAAAACTTCGGATCGCAGGGGTCTGCGGCGGGGATCGAACCTCGTTACGACCATTTCCAGGGATTAATGTGTTCGCCACCACACCATGCGTATCCCTCGTTTCGCTTTTCTCTCACCCATGTTCTATAGGCGCTATCATCAATCATCCACTGAGCACTGTAGTTTGGCTCAATTCACTGTTAGGCAGTGGAGCACGTGGAACATAGGTTTCAAATTCATTGCGATTTTCGACTATTTTCTTGCATTTGTCAACACGGTTTCGAGATTGCTATGCTCAAATATAACCAAACTTCTAAATGGTTAGAAAAAAATGTTTTCCTCTTGAATGGCACGAGCCATTCCAGTGAACCGTAGATGGCACCTAGTTGGTCAGTCACTGAACGCTTTTAATTCTGATGTGCATGAACATCTGGAAAATGTCCGCAGTTTTGCAAATATCTCAGCATCATTGAAGTTATATTTCGCAATACATACCCTACCATTAAAAAGAGTAGGCAGTAAATAATAAGTTAAAATTGTGATTATAACTACATCCTCAGCATAGCTGGGTTCAATGCCTATTTGGGCTCCCCAGATCAATCCCGATGATAGGTGACTGTTAACGGCACTGATCGACAGAACGGGCTGAGAGACAGGCGAAACAATGGACCCGCATGGTGTGGTGATGAACGCGTTAGCCTCAGGAAAGGACAATAGCGCGTTCGTTCTCCACCGCAGACACCTGCGGTCCCGAGTCTTGCAAATATCTCAGCAACATTGAAGTTGTATTTGGCAATTTACAAAATGGTTAAGCTTCTTTCCTAATTTTATGCTAATCCTACAACCCATGACCGACTTTCTGTTAACCTCGGCATTAATTGATAATTCAATGTTTTTCATCAATAAGCAGACACGAGGTTGAATTTATTAGAACACAATTGCTGACGTTTCGGCGGTTTCGCCTTCTTCAGAGCCTGGAAAGGTCAAATTGAGATGCGA